ACTACAAACATATTAACGCCAAACATTCGGTAGAATTTATAGAATATTGTAAATATATATATATATATATATATATATATATATATAATAATCTTTTTTAAGCAAGAAAAAGCACGCAATGGCATCATCCTGATGTTTTGAAAATTTCATCACCAATGAAGATGGATTGTTGAGCGAACACACCACACACCACACACACACACATACATACACAAACACATACTCATATACACACACACATTCATACGCATGCATGTATATTATTTAAAGTACCTTTTTGGAAAGCTGGTTGTCAATCATGAAGTTATGTACATGCCTCTCTGCCCTTGTTAATTCCATCTTACGTGCAAACACTGCTACAACGAGTGCGGTACAACCCGATCCCTGGTTTCGTTTCGTTAAAAATTAACTTTCATATGGAAATTTTGAAATAGTTTTATAAAAAATTTTATGAAACGTATGCACTGGATTTGGTGAAATAGCTAATAATATGTTGTATGTATTTCTAATTGTGTTTTGGGTCGTTTTTGTTAAATACCATAACTTATGAGTGTGGTGTGTGTGTGTGTATATCTGTGTGAAAGTGTATGTGTGTATGTATGTACGTGTGTGTGTGTGTGCGTGCGTTTGTTAAAAGATTTAAAAATTAATTTAGCCGATGTCCTACCGACCATGACACCGGTAAAAACAGCAACAGAGCGACCGCAGTATGTTCTAGGCACGATGTCTCCGTACCCCACAGAGAGGAATGTTATGGCGATCATCCAGAGAGAGTTCAAGAAATTTTTGTGCTTTGGATCGTGGTAACTGAGAAATTGGTTTTTATGTTTGAATTTGATGTATTTTTTTCTAAGTTTTTCAGTTTGGTTTGTTTTTATTATGTGTGGTTATTTACTCATCCAGTTAAAATTGAATATAAAAGTTTAATTATTCATGAAATAATTTTGTAACATTTAAAAAAAATGTTATTATTTAAAACGTAAAACACTGTTGTATATTCTATATTTATCTCATAAAAAGTGTTTAACGGAAAAAACTCGCCCAATTTTCCATCACTACCCAACACAACCAACAGCCAACCAACCAACCAACCAACAGCCAACCAAACAACCAGCTATCCAACCAACCAACAACCAAACAACAGCAAACCATCCAACCAAACAACAACCAACCAACCAACAACCAGCCAACCAACACAACTAACAACCAACCATTCGCAAACTCTAAGTGTCCAACTAGCAAGTATCCAAACAGTGAGCATGAAGACAACCAGGACAGTGCCCGGACAGATGTTCATCAAAGTTTTCAAAACGAACCTCACGTTGAAACTTATCCTGTTGAGAGCTCCGATACTGACCGCCGATGCGTCGGTAAGTATCCGACTGTGAAGTAGCATGACCCGACCGACCAAGTAGAATCGAAGGAACATCGGGAATGTCAATAGGAGGTCTATTGAAACTGTAGCCTTTCAAATTAAAGTTTGGTCATTTATTTAAAATTTCATTATTTTAAGTTTTATATTTTAGTAAACTGGTTTTTCATCAAACAACTTAATGACAAAACATTAAGTAGTTATGAATAACTTAATTCACAGAGACATTAATCACAGTCAGAAATTTTTACTGGAATCACGTTCAAAAGATCGAACCAACCTCCTTGAGAATGCGGCTACTACCGGCGTGCGAATCGTCGTCGTCGTCAACGCTGACGGACTTCCAGATGAATTTGATGTCTCCAGGGAAGGGATGGATTGAGCAGACGACGATTTCAAGTGTGGCCTGCAGGATGACAGGCCACGATAGTGCAACTCGCCAATCACCGAGACTGTTGTTCACTATGAATAACTGTGGTCAGTTGTGGATAAGTCAGTTGTTTTTCATGTATGTCTGCATCTTATATGAATAATTTTTTCTTTAACACTTAAAAATTATAATATTAATGAATATGGGGGGGGAAATGTAGATAGAACAGACTTGAGCCTGGAGTCGATAGTAGATGAGGATGAGATGAAGAAGGATGGCGGTAGAGATTGTCACCAGAGATTTCATCACGCACGAGTACTTCGAACTCTGGCGGTGAAAACATGAAAAAATCCATTCCATTTTATAAACATGTCCATACTGATACATATATGCGTTGTCTGGTAGAAACATAGAAGTATTTAATAATAATTTTAGATATTTTGTTTTGCATATGCTCGTCTTATAAAGCGTTTTTTGTTTTTTTTGTTGAATTTTTTAGCGTTTTGCAGAGTGGAACCTCGAGTGGGAGATGCAATATGCACGCTCCATTTCATACAATGATGATGACGTTATGTGATGTTGTTCCACGCTGTCGATGTTGTTGATGTGTTTTTTTGTTGTAAATTAAAACGTTGTTCATTGTTATAAATGATTAATCTCTTGTTTATTATCTCAATATTTTTTAAGACTTATACTCGATATGGTTTCAATTATCTGTAATTTTCTTCTACTATAACTTACATTTGAATATTGTTTAAAAGACATTAGGTGAAATTAGCTTCCAGAGTTCTTTACTGCAGCATGTAGCACGCAATAACTTCATCAATTTTAGAAATACATCTAGCTACCAAACAGAAAAACGGTGCATTCAAGATGCCAAAGTATACAAAATTTAGTTTTAAATTGAGTAACGTTTATAGAACCAAACACTTTTAAAATTATTGTTTTAATGTTTTCTTCACATGCAACTAAACAAACTATGGAAAACTCGAAAAACAAAAAAAATATCAAATTTCTTTGAGTTATTCGACGTTTTTAAATTTTTAAAACTCGAGCGAGGGTAATTCAACAAACAAATTCGACGCGACATTCTTTAGAAATCATTAAAAATTAACGGGTTTCAAAAACAAAACAAAACGCACCCTTCCCTCTGACGTCATCAAGTGTGGCAGGAAATAAATTCTCTGCCGTCAGCTCGTTAGCTTATTTTTATTTGCAAAGTTTTTTTCCTCCCCAAAACATCGTCACTCATTTTTGTACGCTCTAGTTTTTCTTGCAGTCATTGCTGTGAGGTTTTTGCTGTTGTCGTTGTTGTTGATAATGTATTGTTAATGTCTTGGTAATGTGATTTTGTTGTTGTTGTTGTTGTTACTAAGGATGTGATGTTGGAATTGCTGTTGATATGTTAGTGAAATTATGCGCATGTAACGGTCGTAGTTATTATAGTGGGATTGTTGATGATGTGTCTTTCTCATTCAAGTAATTTCTCATTCAAGTCAGTCGTAACGACAGTAGCCTGAGTTTTGTGGCTAAATTTTTTTTCCACGTATGATTTCCACTGATTAAATCAATTATACTTCAAAATTAAACAAAAGTACAATGAATGAGTAATAAGAAAAATAATAAAATCAGCTAACGAGCACAAAAAATCTTGATAAATTTCCTTCAATTTTAAAAAAGTAGGAAAAATTTTTTTCCCATTTCCTCCATTCTACCTGTTCTCATATTTTATTGGTCGAGTCCTGGTGACGTCATTAAAACGTCATCGTGTTAGCCTAATTGCCAGTAAGAATGGATGTTCATTTTTTCTTTTTACCTCATTGGCAGCTAGTTTTTCCAATCACGTACACATACGTCTTTGTCATTTTTACTTAATAATATCTCTCATTTTCAATTTGCATTTAACACATACCATCGTTCTGCCTTTATAATATATGTTTTAGATATAGTTATTAGACAGAATTTTGATTTCATAATTATAAATGCACGCACACATACATACACATTCACGTACACACACACAACACACTCACACAACACACACACAACACACACACATGATTACACTTTTTAAAATCACTAGAAGCATTTTTGAGATCTCAAAAGACTCCAGCCAATTAAGTTAACCTTTCACAAAAATTTATTATATATCCAATACACACACACACAAACAAACACATACATTTACAAACACCTATTCACTCACACACACACATACACACGCAAAACTAACACATCTACAAACACAAATGTCACAAACAAACGCAAATTTTATACAATAAAAGCAAACACACAACATAGCATAACGTAATAACATTATTGTTCCTAGCAATGTTGGATTAAGATGTAAATGAAACCAATGTTGTTGCATTTGTCGTCGCAAGCTGGTCCTGTGCGTGTTTTGTGTTTGTCGGGGTTATATACAACAACACACATACATAAATATACATACAAACGTACATACTCACAAATACATACATACATACATACATACATACATACATACATACATACATACATACATACATACATACATACATACATACATACATACATACATACATACATACATA